TAAATCTTAGGAGTAGGTTTACTATTGCATATTTCTAGTTTGAATTACTCTAGGTCAGAGTTTATTATTAAATCCTTGGATTAATTTGGACATAAAAAAATAATAAAACAAAACTTTAGGAGAAAAGGAAAGAAAAGCATCCTAAATGAGTGATTCCTAAGCAGATACAATGACAGTTTTCCCCTGGGTGTGGATTATTCTTCTTCGTACATTTCTCATTTCCTTTTTGGAAATGCTTCCAAAAATGTGAGGACACATAGGAAACCTATCGAAGAGCTCAGTTAACACCAACACACATCCCTGACACTAGGGAACCAGGCAACGAAGGATCTTATGAAACACTGTCCAGCAGGGCATTTTATAACTCCAGGGCTTAGGTTCACAAAGGGTCCTGTAACCATTCATCTCCTGATTAAATTAAAAGTATGCAGCAGACAACGGGATTGAAGAAATAGTTGTGCTAATAAGTAGTGTGACAGACCAATGAAAATATAACACCATTCCTGCTATGGAGACTTGGGAACTTCTCCTTAGCTTCCTCACAGCATCCCCATGGTGTAAGGTGCTTTACAGGGAAAGTGCATTTGATGCACTTTATTTTTTTTTTGAGAATTGAAAAGATTTCTCACTTAAAATGTTTATTGAGGGAAGATGATAGGTTTGTAGTGATTCTCCTGTTCATAAACAAATGGAGATGGGGGTTATAGAAAAGTGTCATTCGCGGTTTATGGTAGTAGCAGCTCAATGAACAGGCAGTGTTTTGGTTAACTATTAAAGTACACAGAACACAATGGCAAGAAAGTTTATGTATATGTATCAACACAAACTACTTGTATTTTAAAATAACATTGAAAACAGCTCATGAGCGGTGGGGGGAGACCTGTGAGTAATGCGCAGAACAGCAGAAGTGGGGCTAGTAGACTGTGTCAGGACTCACATACCATAGTTGTGAGACCACCATTTTTTCCCTCCCTGGATGACTTTTAATGTCCCTCCATCTCTATAATTCTGTTATTATAATAACTTGTTAATGTTCATTTAACAGGCTTCACTCAAATAATTCATTAGAATGCCAGAAAAACTTATATTTGATTTCTGGAGTTTAGAATAATACCTGCTTATTCAACTGAACTTAATCCTTTTTTGGAACAAAGAGAGACATAAATAAGGTACGCTAATTGCAGGTATGCCAGAAACCATAACTGCATTTTGAATAGGAGTCAACAAGGGATTGTTTCCAGTTTCAAAAGGTCAACGCATATTCTGCTGCTAGCTTCCAGAATTTGACAGGTATCTTTGTGGTAGTCCTAGCAATTCATGCTAATAACTGTCTAATTATCCACCCCCATCACAATGCAAAAATAATTTAAGGGAGCTTAAGGAATACAGAATTGCATAAATAAAATTGAATATTTAGGATAAGAAAATAAAACTAAAGATGAGGATATAAAATAAACAAGTAGTGAGGTTCTAATAAATCACCATAATGACCTATATTACAGCTGCTTCTGGTAAAACCCAAATTTGGCATTAAGCTTTTCAGCATCCAACATGAAAGAGGAATTCGGTCAATTACATAATTCATAGAAACATAAGATGAAAGTAAAGCCCAGCAGAAATATAGTTGTTTGTGATTGTGAGAAGTAAAAGTTCCTCCTCAGGACTCTTCATTAAGAATAATTGTGCCAACAGCAGGCCCGGTAACTTTCCTTAGAATAGAAGCAGTGGTTAGGTACTAGTGCTACTCCTTACTTCAAGTGACTGCATCACAACTAAGTGGATGCATCATAGCATGACGGCTAGAGGAAGAGATTTCTGTTCCATTCTACCTAAGTTCAAATACCAGCTCTGACATTTACTAGCTATGTGACCTTGGGATTCTTATTCAACCACCTCAGGTGCCTTCCTTTCCCTGTGAGGCGCAGGTAACAATAACAACTTGCAAAGATTGAGTTAATAAGCACTGTGCAGTGTTACTGCTTACTAATAAAAGAGATCAGTAAAAGGTACTGGAGTGGGCATTGCTATAATAGTTCATTATGTAGCTCTCTACTGCCCTGACTTGAGCCCCAGGTAGATTTGAACACTGCTGTCCAAAAGAACTTTAAATAGAAATGAATGTTACATATCCGTGCTATCGCAAACAAAAGCTTCTTGTGGTTATTGAACACTAGAAATGTGGCTAGTAAATTGGAGTTAGGTTTTAGTCTCAGGTAATTGTGCTAATGAAGAACTGAATTTCTAATGTAATTAATTTAAATAGTTAGAAGTGACAAGTGGTTACCATACTGGGCAGCTCAAATGTGGAAATTTCCCATCATTGTAAAAAGCTTGATTGGACAGTGCTGATCTAAAACTTCTTCCAAGTGACATTCTTTAAATATTGTTTCAGCTGAACTTCTGATGAACATTAGACAAGGAACTCCAGGCTGTATTCCTTCAGTAACTGGAATGTGGCCAAACCTCTGCTGCTAGGTGAATGCAGACCCATATGCCTTGGGCTGTGGAGCTGTCCATTTGTGATGTGTGAAGTCCAAGGATGAGTGGCTGAACAGAATGCCGATCTTACCTGTTTCGAGGGACACCAATGGCATATCCATGGGAGGGCCAACGTCCTCCCTAGAAAATTATTTTGAATCTACTTTGGAGCACAAAGGAATGGACTTGATCCCAAAGTTCTACTTCATCTAGCACAGTTGCAGTTGTTGCAGCCTGAACTATTTTAAAGAGTGGTTTAACCCAATGCTGGTCTATTCTCCCCCACGGTTAACTTTGAGAAATGCTACTTCCTGGTATACACTCCAAGATAAACTACTTGGAAAAGGTACACCAAGATGACTAAATATGAGTCCCAGATAAAAGTAACAATTGCTGAAGTCAATAATTCCATATAAATCATGTAATATAAAGGCAAAATAAAGGGAAAGTAATTGATAATAAAATGTGTATTATAATCTGTTAATGCTTAGCCACACTAGAAGAAACAATGAAGTCATCTGTACCTATACACAGAATTATGATGTTTATATTATCAGTCATACTGAATTGTCATCAGTAGCATGCTGTCATTAAGATTTTTTGAAACAGGTACAATTTCTGGTCAAGTTTTGAACAAAATAAAATGGAATCTTCCCTCAATTTATCTCATGGTTGCATTGTTGGAAAATTCAGTGTATATTACAATTGTATAAAAATACTTTAAAATGTAAAATGAAGTTATATTTTAGACTTAGATAACTGAACGTATTCTTTCCTTTTTTTAAAACCCATATGAACGTTTGGCAGAACATTCAAGAATTATGTAGAATGTGGAACAATTCTTTGTTGTGCTCACCTGACCACATGCTGTGGAACATAAAGCATCTATGGCTCCTGCCCACTCACTGCCGGCAGTGCCTCTGATCACTTCTGAAACCCTGGGTCCAAGCCAATCAGATTAAGCCTCTCAGCCACAGTCCTGACAATGACTGGTTGATCAATCCAGGCCTAATCAACCAGCACAAGACAGTGGTTGATTTGAGAATAGGAAAAATGATGTAATGTTGGCCAAGGAAAGATAAAAGAAGTTTGCTGGAAGCTTCGAAGGAAAGTTTCCTATAGGACAGAGAAGATGGTCTCTTTCTTCACTGCATGGTTACAAACGGAAGTGGGGCCTGAAAACCCTGGTCTCATCTCAAAACCAGCTGAAGGATGACGCCAGCAAACAGAAGGGCAGAGCCAAAAGCTCAGAGAAACTCAGCTAAATTTGCATTAAGTCACCTCTGGGGTCTCCTCTACCTCTGGACTTCCAGTTACATAAATCAATAAACTTCCTATGGTTTAAGCCATTTTGAATTTGGATTTGGGTTTCTTGCAGCTAAAAGCACTTTGAGACATACATAATTTCCCAAGTCAAAGACTGAGGCCTGGTTAAAACAACAGCAGGTGACTATTGTTCCTGGATTTCTATGCTAAGTGGTAAAGCAAGCAGTACGCTGGTCTAAAGCCTCATGCCATCATGTGAAGGAGCCACACAGTATAAGACTACGTATTGCTTCAATCAAGTGGCAGGCATATGGTGGAAGAATGACTAGCATAGCTCACACACGGAGCATGTTGAAGGAAACACGTGAAAAGTAAAAGCTATTTCATTTGAAAACAAAACATAGAGCTACAGGTAACAAAGTACTGCTGTCAGTACTGTGTTCAAAGAGTTCTACAGGATGCACTGCGGACAGATAGGGTAGTAAAACCTGACTAAGTTCCTGCTCTCATAAACTTACAGGTAAAGAGACAAGTGAAAAACAAAATACATGCTGAGTATGGTAAACAACAAGGATATGGTAGGGGCACGGAAGTGGGCAGTTAGCTATGGTTAACTATGGAAGCTTTTCTGATCATGCTAGGGGTTTGAGCTTTAATTTTAAAGATTAATAATACTGGGAGGATGTGGGGAAATGGTACATTATAGAAAGAGGAGAAGATAAGTATTTAGGAACAGGAGGGGAAAGTTTAGTAACATGCTGCTAAGATGGCAGTAGGCGAGGTTCTAGATGGTTCATTCCACTGCCAGATTCATGAGAGACGGTGGGGGTTAAGAAAAGACAAACTTATATAGTTGGGAATAGAGCCTGAATCTGGAAGACCCACTCCACTACATCCCAGCTGTTTGACCCTGGACAAGCTACTTCTCCCTCCCTCCCTGTGTCGCTTCCCTCAGCTTATAAAAAGGGGAAGTGCCCCCGTGGGGAGGGGGAGAGCATAAGGATGAATGAGGTGTGGCAGGCAAAAGGACTTGCATAATTAAGAGGTGGTTAATCACTGTAGTTATTATCACTTTTAAATCCGTAAGCCATTCACCCAAATTAGTTTCAGAGCAAATGTAAGGAAAACATATAAACTTGATATATCTATTGAATCAGATTTGAAAAAAATACTCAGTTTTTAAACAGCCAATTGCAATGCATTTTGTTAAAAAACCTTAAATTGAAATAAAAACAATGATACACTAAGAAAATGGATTTTGATTAAGAGATTATAAATACATTTATTGGTAATGTTACTGAATTCGGAATGCAGAGAACAGAATACTAAGAAATCAGAACTTAAAAGGAAATATCTTAAAAAATGCAAACTATGTACATATATGGTTAATCAATTTTACAAATCTGTTTAGATTTACAACCAAATGTAAAGCTCATTCCACAGCTTTCATTCTGAATATACTTTGATTTCTAGTGTAATAGCATTCTCCATTCTAAAATCCAGTTTTTTCTGTATTTACACCAAGTAAGATTTATTTTGTTTATGTCTAACCTAAAAGCAAGACTCTGTGAGCTGATACTGAAGCTGCCAGGTAAATCAGGAATTTAAAACAGCTCTTTAAGAGAGGATAAAGCCACTTCAATCCTAGATGTAGAAATACAAAAGAGAGAATTACAAGAAGCAACAAGAATCACAGAAAGACCAATTCTATTCTAAACTGTAAGTTCTAATTCTAGCAACAATTCAATTAGCAGTAGCTTAGATGTCTTTGTTCTAAAAGGTAATAATACTATTCTTTCATTACAGTTTCCTGACTATACCCAATGAATAATTATCAAGTTTTAATATTCTTTTTTAATAACCCAAGAATATGATTTATACATAACAGAATCATCAACAAAAGAGGCCTTCCAACATATTGCTGAATGCTGCAATATAGTTTGGTGGCCAGATTTCAATTTAAATAATATAACCATTCATAAAGCATTTATGACACCCAGCACAATTTCTGAGCTGTTAACTCAGAAATACTCCATCTGTCTTGCTATCAGACAATTACTGACATGGATCAAACTATGACAATTCTACAGGGACTCTAACAGGATTGCACATAAAATGAAATAATTATGAACTATGACACAATTGTAAAAACACGGCAAGCATATAGAACAGAATCTTCCACTATAATAATAGCATTACAAAACTACAGTGACAGTTAAATAGCAGAATGCTTTTTCCTGCTAACTACTGAATATAAAAAGTTTTCTGACTATATTTTTTATGAATAGACCATTTTTGAAATAAACACTAAGGGAAACTGAAAAGTGAATAAAATGAACTCTTCATTTTTTACAGATATTAACAAGTAAAGCAGTTTACAAAAAAAATCCTAAAACAAATAAATATAAGACCAAACCACTCGTTTTTTAATAAAATATAGCTCACTTTCAAAAGCTCTACTTGGTTTGCTACTAGACTTGAAAGTGTTAAAATAAACCAAAGAGGTCCAACAATACTGACTTACTCTGCAGAGTTTAAAAAAAGCCCTTCAGGTTTTAAGCTGAGTGTTTCTTTCTCAGAGACTGTAAAGAGAAAATGGGGGCTCTTGCAAAAATAAACAAACAAAAACAAAACAAAATCACCAATCAAAACTAATCATACAAGAAAGCCTTTTTCTTTTTGAACACTTCACTTTAGATGGTCCTATATTAGGGTAAGGTTTCTATAACAAGGACTTCTTTTATCTTTCTCTCTTTAGTCATTTCCATGGTTTTAGCAAACAAGGCTGTGTGTTCCTAAGAAGTCAGGTTGAGTCAGAGGTAGCTTTGGGATGCAGTATACTTGACTACATACAGTATGTAGTTGGTTCAAATGAACGTGTCATTCTAAAAGGATTACAAAATGTAAAAATGCAAAAAGAAAAACATGTACAGCCCTCACTGCCTTGCACTAAGAAAACAAGTATGAGAAACTGAGAAACATTGGAAGCTGGGAAACAGATATGTGCCTCATCTTCCATGAGCTCCTTTAATGCACCAGTTCAGGCTGGTTTTCCACGAAAGGCAGCACCCCACTCACATAGTAGGCAATGCCAAGGGACAGCAAAGCAATGACAAAGATCAAGAGCAAAACCCTCCAGAAGCCCAGATCCTCTACAAACTCCTGCCATGTGGTTCGGAAGCTGGACAGGACCCCTTCACCTTGCTGTAGGTTGGGATTGAGGAGAGAATGGCTTTCCATGGCACTGTGAAAGAGGCAAAGAGAAGGAAAGAGGGCATGAAACAACATATTTCACCCATTTTAAAAACCTAAAACAACAGGAACTATATTATTTAGAAAAGAGCAACTTTATAACACAGTGCTCACAAGAAGAAAACTGACATACGTATACATACTCTCACACACTTATGTACGGATTTATGTATCTGGACAATCTACCTTAAACTGTAAATTGCTAAACCATAATAACTATGCTTCTTGGTTTTGTATCTAGAAGAGTCAAAATTAAAAGTTCTTTTCTAATAAAAAAAATCCCAAGCAGGAATCTTGAAGTTGGACAAATAAGTTGTTTCCATCAGATACTAAACGAAACACATTTGGGTATTTTAAATTTAGAAGAATTCAAAACAAAGATTCATAATTTGAGAATACCTGTTTAAAAAAATAAGAGGGGCAAATCTAAAAAAATCATTTATTACAGTATGTGAATCTTAAAGTTAAAAGGGGGTTATTTTCAGTTAAATAATATGACCAATGAAGGAATTTTTTCTAACTGTAATTCTTTAATAATGGAAGCTAACTCCTCAGTCTGTTGTACATTTGAACAACATTCATTAGGAATTCTTTTTAATAGTTTCTTCCCCATGGTTTTAGTTCTATCTTGTACAATAATACAGAATAAGTTTATTTCTCTTCTGCATAAAGGCTGAATCTAGTTGAAATAAGAAATACAAACACCATAAAACCACTGATTCTGGTTTTCAGAACTCTATCAAGGGGAACGATGACTGCTATAAATAAAAAACGGTATAGTCAACTTTGGAACCAGAAAGCCTGTGCGGCGATGAATTCAAAGCTCAAAGGGATTAACATCCATGATTATGTCACAACACGCAGGCCCAATAGAAGAAATCATTTATATTAAAGCCACCATGACCATAATCACATGTATCAACTATCCATTGCTTAGACAAAGCCATTGCTACCCATCCTAAACACTTTCTCTTCATATTCTTCCAACCATCTGGCTACAGAACAAAGCAAACAGCATAAAACAATGTCTTAGAGTCTGGTTCACTATGTAAAATAAGCAGTTTTCTAAAATCCACAGCTTTATTTTACTTCTTGATACTGTTAACCAGTGATCCTTCAGTCTTTACTAATATTAGAAGTCTTCTCTTATCATGAAAAGCTGACTTCCAAATAAGCCCATCTGCTTGACACCCAAATTTTTCATATTAAAAGATGTTTATTCTCTGAACACAAGACATTTTTAGTGGGAATCTACAACAATACAAAAATTTAGGAAAACTGAAGCAAGTTCAAAAATAAGATTACAACATGGAGAAGGTCTAAACACATAAAACCACAGATAGATAAAGAAGGTCAAAGTTAATTCTGACACGTAAAATTTGACTATACCTGAGCTGGCATGCTTTCATACTCAGAGATGTTAGATGTAAAATGAGAATTCACTTGAGCTCTCCAGGAGCTCATGACACTCTGCATTCAGAATATTCTATAGGACTCCACTCAACGAAATGTTTGCTACTGTCCACAGAATACCGAATTCTAACTGCATGATAGTGTGTGAGTGTGTCTGTGTAATTTTTTTATAGGTTTGTCACCTACACTTAGTCATCTTGTACCTAGAAAAATGGAACTAAATTAAACTTAGGATATATAGGAGACTGGGAAAATATTTTTCACTAACTTGATTTATATAGGCCCTTAAGAAATTATTCGACAACCTCATCAAAAATGCAACTAAACAACAGAACAACCAACATTTAGAACCATACAGAATACAGCCCACACAGTGGGGACACCTTGGGTACCCAGCTTGGGTAATAGGGGAGGCTGTGCCACTGGATCCTATGGGACACCTACTACATTAAGCCATTCAGTCAAGCCCAGAAGACATAGTAGCTCTATCTAATACATAGAAACAAACACAGGGAGGCTGCCAAAATGAGGAGACAAAGAAACAGGGTCCAAATGAAAAAACAGATCAAAACTCCAGAAAGCTAAATGAAATGGAGGTAAGCAATCTATAGGATGCAGAGTTCAAAACACTGATTATAAGGATGCTCAAGGAACTTAGAGAGGACCTCAGCAGCATTAAAAAGGATCCAATCAGAAATGAAGGATACACTAATTGAAATAAAGAACAATTTATAGGGAATCAACAGGAGAGTGGATAAAGTCAAGAGTCAAATCAATGATTTGGAACATAAGGAAGCAAAAAACAACCAATCCGAACAGCAAGAAGAAAGAATCCCCATAAACGATGATAATGGAAGCAGCCTCTGGAAAATTTCAAGCTTTCCAACATTCATATCATAGGGGAGCTGGAAGGAGAAAGAGCAAGAAATTGAAAATCTATTTGAAAAAAATAATGAAAGAAAACTTTCCTAACTTGGTGAAAGAAACAGACAAACAAGAACAGACAGCACAGAGAATCCCAAATAAGATGGATGCAAAGAGGCCCACTCACATTATTAAGACACATCATAATTAAAATGCCAAAGGTTAAATTCAAAGAGAGAATCTTAAAAACAGCAAAAGAAAAGCAATTAGTTACTTGCAGGGGAGTTCCTGTAAGACCTTCAGCTGATTTCTCAAAAGAAACTTTGCAGGCCGGAAAGGAATGGCAAGGAATGGCTTTTTCAAGTCATGAAAAGCAGGGACCTGCAACTAAGATTGCTCTGCCCAGCAAAGCTATAATTTAGAATCGAAGGGCATATAAAGAGCTTCCCAAACAAGAAAAAACTAAAGGAATTCATCATCATCAAACCATTATTATATGAAATGTTAAAGAGACTTTTTTAAGAACATCAAAACTACAAACAATAAAATGGCAAAAAATACAAATCTATGAACTATTGAATCTAAAAAACAAACTAAGCAAATAAGAACAGAGAAAGGATCATGGATACGGAGAGTGTTTAGATGGTTGCCAGATGGGAGGTGGGTTTGTGGGTTTGTGTAGATGTCAAGGGGTTAAGTAATATAAATTGATAATTACAGAATAGCCATGGGGATGTAAAGTATAGAAAATGGAATAGCCAAAGAACTTACACACATGACCCATGAACATGAACAATTGTGTGGGGATTGCCTGAGGCAGTGTGGGGTGCTGGGTGCCAAAGGGGAAAAAACTGGGACAACTGTAAGAGCATAATCAATGAAATACAATTAAAAAATACACTAACCTCAAAAAAATGTATACCAAGGTCTAAAAATAAATGATAAACAAAAGCACATTCTTGGACATTTCTCATGGTAAAAAAAATAAAATAAAAAAACTTAAAAGTAATTTACTACTATTCTTTAGAAAGATGAAAATAAGTTTCAAGTTATTTTGGAAGAACATAATCTGTGACAAATAACACATAACAATGTTATTAAATTGCTTATGGTATTTTTTAAAATTTATTTATTTTTAGACAGAGGGGAAAGGAAGAAAGAGAGGGAGGGAAACATCAATGTGTGGTTGCCTCTCATGCACCCCTACTGGGGACCTAGCCCGCAAACCAAGCATGTGCCCTGACTGGGAATCAACAGGCAACCCTTTGGTTCTCAGGCTGGCACTGAATCCACTGAACCACAGCAGCCATGGCTAAATTGCTCATGCATTTTGACAGTCGATCCCAAGGACACAGGTGACAGAAACAGGGCTTGCAAATGCATCTTTTGACTTCCTGCTTATTTTATCTACTTAACAGCTTTCAGAGATAACTCATGAGAAGCATGTTCTGTTCTAGAAGTAAAACTCTTTAATATCTTTGGAAAGTACTAAATATTTGAAAGTATCTGAACAAAACAGCTTGAGAGTGGAATTAATCATCCCCAAGGAATATCCCAGCCAGTACATGAAAAGGACGGAAAGCAATCACGGGTACAAAGGAGCTGAAGCATGAAAAATGAAAAATAGAGAGAATTTCCTTTAGAATTCAAAGAAACAATGATCCTGATGGTCTAGGTGGCCTACATGATCCTAAATCCAAATCTGATCAATCAGCTACTGGGTCAACAGCTGATGAGGACCCTGAAATACATTCCACTGAAAACTGTGGGGGGAGACTGTAATAAACTCATGGTCCTTACCCAGTGTAATCTGGAAGGCTGAAACTCCGAGGCAGTCAGTGAAACTACAAGCTAGTACAACAAAATCTGGCCTACTGACTTTATCTGTTGAGCCAGTGAGGCCAGGAGGAAAAAATGGTTTGTTACCTTTTCAGAGCTCCCTGAACTGTGCTCTGAACTGCTTCTAGATGAGAAATGGTGGGAGATTTAAGACTCGCTCAATCACTGCATCTTAGCCTCAATTACTTAAAGGAGCCCAAATTTCATTTTGTTCCTACTCATGTAAAAGTCACTTTCACTTTTGCATTACTGAACTGAATATGTGTTAAATCTTGTCTTTCTTTCTCTCCTGTTTTACTTTTCCTCAGCAGTCTACTTCCCTACCCTTGAAACTATTTTTTTGTCTTTTCTAATACTGTCCAAGTTCTTAGCCTTACTTATCTTTCTCTCCCTTTTTGAAATCCCATTCCTTTTGTGACCTGTACTAAAATTCCCAGACTCCTGTTTCCTTCCCCCATATTCAGCTCTTAACCACCCCTTGCACTGCCAATGCAGCAGGTTCCTTACACAGAACATTATGTGCATGTGGGCACGTCGCACTTTCTGTTAATAGCTTCTCAATTGTGATCTGGAGTCATAGGGACCTACATAAAGTTCAAAGAAAGTATCAAGCTCTGTACTTGAAAGCAAATAAATATAAAGCTCACAAAGTTGTCATAAAAGATCCAGAGACTTAAAGTGACTTGTCTATTAAAAAATTATATCTTAAGTACCTTTCACTCTCAGCTGTCTGCATGGTCTCCAGTTTTGAGTGGGTTCCTCTGTTAAATCCTTTTACTTCCTGTTCTTCCAAAGATTCCAGCAATCGGATGACATCTTTATTCACGCCTCTGCGCTTTGCCAGAACTAAGGGTGTAGCACCTTGATGATTACTTTAAAAAGGTCATAAAAATAAAGACGTCATTACAGTAGTTGTGTTACATTGTTAGTACCTACTTGTGTAGATAGGGAAGAAGGTATAAACCCAATTAAGTTAAAATTAAAATCCAGAACAGAACCAATGGTCAAGCTAAAACCTGCATTTTGAGTTAACCTATTTTTTTTTTCCTTCTAGGAAAAGCTATAGGCAAAAGAGTGAATAAATGAGAATTAAAGAAAAAGAGGTTGTCAACTTTCCAGAAATTAATTGGAAAGTCTAATTCTAGATTCATTTTTGACATTTACATTTTATGGAAAGAATGTTTATATTTTGTAAAAAGTCTAAGAATAAAAAAAATCCCAAATGCAACCAAATAGGCTACTTTGATTTACCTAGCTATTTAACATTAACAACGGGACAGAGTCCAATTAACATTGAATCCTGTAGTCAGTTCTCACTCCATACTGTCTTTACGGTAGCAGAAGCACTTACTGTCTTATTCAGATTTAAGGACATTATATGACCAATAAATTAGGGCAACATGTAATTGTAGTTTAAAGGTCAGTCTCAGTTTTAACAGTAGCCTGACATCTTTCCCACTCAAGAGAGAAAGTACCTCTAAAATAGAGAACCACTTCTTGAAATTGTTCAGTATAAAAAGGACTCTGAGCCTAACAGAGTATGAAGCTAGCATGGAATATCATATGATAGAAGGCAAACAGCTTTGGAATCTGGTGGAACTAGGTTCAAATTCTAGCTACGTGACCTCTGTTAAGTCATTTAACCCTTTTTGTCTCAATTATTTCACCTGTAAAATGAAGATAACACCTACTGCATTCTGAGGATTGAATGGGCTAAATTAAGTAAACACAGTGCCTGGCCCACAAAGATTTTCAACAAATGTTAGTTCTTCTTTTTCCCTTGTCTTACAATATACAATTAACAGCAGAACCTAGCCACTAGTTTCATAGAACTTACACTGCTTCAGCATGAATCTAGAAGTCCGTCCCTTGTTCCCTCACTTCCCTAACAGGATTCCATTGTTCTCACTGCCTTGCTAATCACATCACTACAGTTGATCAATGAGGAAACAGAATCAATAGACTCCAAGGTTAGCCCACTGGTTGAGAAACTAATGAGAAGAAATGACTAGACTTCAAAAACCACAGAGAACTTACCAAATATCAATTTTGAGTCCATTGGAAACTAAGAATTGAATAGTGTCCACATGACCACAGAGATGAAGAGCTGTGTTCCCTTGATAATCTGTGGCCAGAAGGTCAGCACCAAATTTATGCAACAGCTGGCAGATGTCTACATTCCCGCGGGCTGCTGCAAGATGGAGGCCTGTTCGGCCCCTGCTGTCACGAATATTTGGGTCAAAGCCACTTTCCAAAAGCCTCTTGGAATAGTTAAAGTCTCCATCAATACAGGCTTGTAGCAAGGGCACATTAGTCTGAGAAGAATCATTTACAAAAACATAGGACATTGTTCTGATGTGGTGGATGCCTGAAATGAAATATGAGGTGAGTGAGATTCAGTGACAGCGAACTAAATCAAGACACTAAAGTCATTTAGAAAAGCACCTTTTGTTATCCTTCTTGGCCTCCTGCCGCCAATAAAATACCTCACCAAACAGAAACAACAACCAAGTTATCAATTATATTTGGTTTTCCATTAAAATGTCTTATTTCCTTCATATATTCTGGGTCAAAATTGCAATTAAATTATTATAAAGCTTTATTTTGCTTTTCATCATATAAAAAGACAGATATTTTTAAAGTTAAGCAAGCTGTAACTGCTTAAAGTTTATTGCATTGTCAGAAAACGTAAGTATGCGATTCTTAAAAGAGTCCAAAGACCTACCTATACACACACACACATATGCTTGTGCTACTGCTGACTTATTTAAAACAAAGTAATTCCTTCATATATTTGCATCTTACTGCATTTGGTATATTTTATATGGCAAACAGAACTACTCCCTTAAAAGTTAACTAAATTAGCATAAGAAACAGCAAAATAACACCCAATAAAGCCCTGGTAAATGCTGTGTTTATAACACAAGCTTCTAATTTTAACAAAGAGGAAAGCTAATGAAAGCAACAAACTTAATTTAAAAATTAGACATATCATGAAATCAATTCAGACTGCCCATCTTTTTTATAGTATTAATCCTTTTCTGCTCTGTTTTATGTTTATCTAAATATCTGACTTTACCTAACTCACGCTGTCTGAAGAATGGGAGATGAGGAACACCAGGTCTGTCTGGGACAAAGGCGGCAGACCCAGCTGCGTCCACTCAAATATTCCTCCCACCTGCGTAACGTCACTTCTCCAGTCAGTTTGTCCACATCTCTTTCATTGATACTTTCCTGCCCCAACAGTCTCTCGGTGCCTTTCTGTCTCTGTGTCTGTCTGTCTGTCTGTCTGTCTCTCTCTCTTCCCCCACCTGTTTTGGTTCATGAAAGAATAAGTTAAAGCCTGACAAATCTTTACTAAGAAACTGAAGAGCAAACAAACCAAAACAAGAAAGCACAAAGGCGGAGACTGATGTGTTTATTACAGCGATGACTCCCACTCTAAGGTTACTTGAAGGTTAGTCAGAGATAAGCTTGGCTCGTAATTTATCAGCCAAAGTCTTCCTTTCTGGGACACTAATGGAATTGGATGCAAGACTAATCTACTCTTGTGCCTAACCTCAGGGTGTCAGGAAAGCGTGGCTGTGGAGTCTGATGAGATTCTTGGCGCCTCCGCCTTTTAGCCTGGTTCCCCAGTAAAGCCGCAGTCCCTCCAGTCCCAGGCTTCCTTACACTAGAGCTCTGCTTCTGCCATGGGTTCCCCATGCAAAGAGAAACATTAACAGGTACCGAAGGCCTGTGCTGAGCCAGAATGGCACCAGGGCTTCTTACTGTATTTTATTTAATCTCCCTAACAACTCCATGCTAAGGTTTATTGTACATGAATTCTAGTAATCAGTCATTGAAGGATGGTAAGCCAAGAAAATGCCATGGTCTCATTATATTATTCTTTCAGAAAGATTGCTTTGTTGGCAATATGGAGAGGTTAGATTGGAGGAGGTCAAGACTGGAGAGGGGGAGATCAATCAGTATGTCACTGTAGAAACCCAGGCAAGAAATGCAGAAAGCCTGACCTCAGGCAGTGGCAGAGAAGGGCATATACTGCTTAGGGATATAGAGGGTAAAATTAGCACAACGTAATGACCCATTGGATATAAAGAGTGAGAAGGAGCTGTTAATGATAAATCCAAATAAGGGAAAAATCTTATGATTAAGAATTACAGAGGTCAACATAAAATAAACTTCAGATTATGATATTATATAATGCTTTTTAAAGAAATTAACCCAATGAGAAGAAATTACTCAATAGAATTGTCATGCATTTTCTTTTGAGGGTGATCTCCCTATTTTCCCCTACAGCATTCATTGGGTTGGATCATTAAAAAAGACGAAGCTATCACAAACTCTTTTAAAAATAAAATACAACATACATGCTTTTCAAGAAGTAACGTGTTTTGGTTACATTGTGTATGAATAGATTCTGAGAAACAATTTACTTGGTTTTTGGTTAAAACACAGTAAGAATTCTTGTGGTTTGCAGACTGGGATTCTTTTGAATGTTGGCTCAGTGGGGGGAAAAAAAGCCTTTTTTTGTCAATTTTTTAAGAAAGAATAAGTGTACTGTATTTTGTGAGTTTCTTTGTGCTCTTGAGAAACTGCTAACCTTACCCCCAAGTTTAATAAGCTCAATGATAACATTTTTCATTTTGATCACAGAACTGAATCTGTCTTAAAGCAAGGCCACAAAAAAAATACTCACGTAAGCCTTAAGATTAGATCTTTTTTCAGTGGTCACCTGGCAGTTTTTCTGAGTTCTTAAGGAGGTTCAACAGGATATCCAGAAATGTAACGGCAAGGATCTACAGTAAAGAGAAAACTGTGATAACAAAGGTGTGGTTGAAAATGGACTTGCTGTTCTAATAAACACAAACAAGTGTAGTGGAGCCTGCAGATATTCTCCAGAAAAACCTGAATTTGTGAGGCTAGTAAATTAACTGACAAGTAATAAAAGTGAAAAGGAAGAAAAAAAGGGCTTAAAGAGTGGCTCTTTTGCCCACAAACAAGAAAGAATGATGAGAAAGATAAAAGAAAAGGAGTCAAATCACGTGTCATTGGTAGAGAAAAAACTGAGCTTCGAAAATTCACTCTAAGTCACTAGAATGCATGTTTTTCACATAAATGGTGGCCAGACCTCCTCCTAAGATTGCCCCCTCTTTCCCTTTCAGTGCGCAGGGCGCACGTCTATCTGCAGCATCTGCAGCCTTTTCTGCATGGCTGACCCCTCCCCCCTGACCTGCGGCGCTGCTCCACCGTCCGGCTTTCGCTGGAACCCCGTCAGGTGTCCCCTCCGCACTCTTGAGAGATTTTGAAAGCACCACCTGTGCCGCTGCACTACTTTCCCAAGGGACTGTGTCAGAGGGGTCACGTACAGGCAGTATGGACCATAAAAAAATCAAGATTAATTTGTTCAACAAACATTAACTGCGTGTCTAAAACGTGCTAGTACCATGCTAAGTGGTGGGGTATACAAGGGGGCACACAAGAAAACCGGAATTTTTTAAGTAAAAAATTGTGTATTTACTCTTACATGTTTAAATTTGAGTCACCTTCAAAGTACTCTCCATCTGATGCAATACACCAATTGAGACATTTTTTCCATTGCTCAAAACAGTTTTTGAACTCATTGATTTTAATGCCTTTTTTAGTGCTTCTGCCATATTTTGTTTCACCTCTTCCACACTGGCAAAACGTTTCCCTCTGAGGACTTTTTTCATCAGGGAAACAAACCAAAAAAAAGCGCTCAGGGTGAGATTGGGTGAATAGGGAGGGTGGGGCACAGGGGTCATGCTGTTTTGGGTCAAAAACTGCTGAGCATTCAGCAGGGTGTGGGCAGGTGCACTCGTAAATCACCCACCATGAAATGGGCAAGCACCATTGTAAGAGCCTTCCAAAAAAAATCCACTGAAGCTGAGTGCAGCCTCTCACAACAACGCCAGCTGGTGCACTGATAGAGATGGGTTCCTCGAACACTCACTTGGGGCGGGGTGGGTGGAGCTCGTACCACAAGGAGCCTGCCCTCCAGAAGATAATACTAGGGAGTTTTTTGGGGTTCCCCTTTGTAAAGTCTAAATCCCAAATTTACAGCTCTGGCTGAAATTCAGGTTAACCTTTCACTGGTCTTTCATGTTCACTGTCATCGAATCCCTTTAAATAAGCTTATCCAATGAAATAATTAATGGTGCTTTATGAATCTCCATTTACAATATGTAAGTCAGGTTGTATCATAAGAGCTATCTATCAGTGCCAGGTTGGAAGTGAAGACCAGGACTGACAAACAATGCGAGGACCAGTCCCACATATGTGTCAACAAATGACATGATGACTGATAACACACAAAACATCTACCCTCCTCAATTGTTTCCTAGTTTTCTGTAATTCTATAATGCCAACTTAGTCAAACTTTGTATCACAGAGCCACTTAATCGATTTCTTTGAACAAATAATCTGATTCACCTAAAGCCTAGTATTCTCCTTTCTTGTCCTGAGCCGTGGAGCTAAGTCTCCATGACTAAGGCCTCTCTCTAACATATACTCTGGCTTAATTTCCAATGTTGAAGTAGTGGAGGGGGTTACTCTGAAGACAGGATTTGCATTACAAAAGGGACATATTTTGCTTGATCATATAGCTACACCCCCAGCAAGTAATCTTAATTTCCCTTAAATCCACAGAAGACATTATTTCTGCCATTGTATTTTGATATAACAAAGTCCCATAAGAAAATAAACCTGGTAAAATTACAGATTTATGTGATTTCAAACAATATTATACAAATGCATTAGCTCTACTTCCTAGAAATCTGCCAAGAAAATGTCTAAGACCCCAATTATCATTAGAAATCTATTCATAGCTTCCTCAAGAAGTTATAGAAGTGAACAAAAATCAGGACACATTTTAACTATTGTCTAAGAGATAAAGAGGACTAAAGGTTTTTTAAATCAAGCTTTTAATTTTGAGATAGCTATAGATTCACATGCAGTTGTAACACAGAGATCCTGTCTATCTTTTACTTAGTTTCCCCCGATAGTAATATCTTGCAAAACTTATCATACAATATCACAACCAAGATACGGACATTAATATAGTCAAGACACGGAACATTTCTATCACCACAAAGATCTCTCATACTGCCCTTTTACAGCCACACCTATTTCCCTCCTGTCCCCACCTCTCTTTGTCCCCTGGAAACCACTACTCTTGTCTTCTATTTTTACAATACTGTCACCTCAAATACATATATGGAACTATACAGTATGTAACTTTTGAGGATTTTTTTTTATTTTTTCACTTAACATAATTCTCTTGAGGTTCACCCTGGCTGTTTATATCACTGGTTTGTTTCTTTTTTATTGCTAAGTAGTGTTCCATGAGAAAAAGCTACCACAGTTGAACTGTTCACCTGTTGAAGGACATCTGGCTGTCTCCAGTTTTTGGTTATTATGATAAAGCTTCTAAACATTCAGGTACATGTTTTTATGTGAACGAGTTTCTCTGGGACAGATATCCAGGGCTGCATCATATGGTGGCCTAAAGATTCTGACAAAAAATGGCTGGTGTGGCTCAGTGGATTGAGCACTGGCCTGCAAACCAAGATTCTGACAAAAAGACTACTGAGCCTGACAAAAAGACACCCTACCCGCACACAAAAAAGGAAAAAGGTAAGGTCTTCTTTGGAGTTTGTTGTCTAGATGCCTCAAGGAACCAGGAGAGTGAGAGGTTATAGAAAAGCTCATAGGACCGAGCATTTGGAAGGGCTCAGGTAGATGTTGACCAAAGGGAGTGAGTAACAAGAACTATTCCACAAGGAGAGTTAGAGGCACTAACGTGTGAGTGTGAACGGGGAACTAGCATCTTTCAAGATTCACAGAAGGGAGCCTGTTCCCCTGTGAATGAAGCAACAGCTACTACACAGACTGAAGGTTGCTTTTAGAGGTGGGGAATGCGGGAGTGAGAGGGATGTGACAGAGGCTGACTCTCCTGAGTGGGGCTCCCTTTAGGAGTATGCAGTGCTCCCAGAGGCAGTTGTTCTATGGTCAGAGGCTGTTACAAGAGCGTGGCTACTCCACTCAGAATGTATTCAGAGCTGGAGAGCCTAGGTTTGAAACCCACTTCAGCTACTTATTAACTGTATGACTTAAGTACCCCCCAAAATAACAATTACTACCCTCCCAAGACTGGACTCAGCTCTAGGGGACCAGTCCTCTGCAGTATTGAAGATGGCTTGCATAGAACATTGATGCGCTGATTACATGGCAGTTTCTAACAGTGGGTGACCTCTAGTGGGGAGTAAAGACCTCCAGGAAAGAAAGAGAACTGGTTCCTGGCAGAGGAAAAACCACAAGGACAGTCAATAGTAGGAATCAGCAAGCCCCAGAAAGCCCTCTGCTTGTTCATTATGGCCTGGTTCCTAAGGGACAGTGTCTAAAGACTGTTCCAAAGGCTGACTTCCTGGGATTGTTAAAAGCTAGGCTTTGTTGGTCAGGTCTTAGAAGGCTGGTGCAGCCCAGTATTTAAAACTCCTGGCCCCCTGCTCCGTGGCACTGCCTGAGGACCTCCATGAGGACTGACCAGGCAGTCACCCAAAACTCAGCTATAAGCGAGCCCAACATTAAATAGGCCAACGCTAAAATGTCTCAGTCCAAGTAATAAAAAATTAGATTTTGGTGTAAGCTTGTGAGTCACTGACTTGATGAAAAGTGCTTGTTAATATACTTTTTCTTTTATATTTTTCTTTTATGTTAACTTAGGCCAATCTGCATTACTTTAAGGTAACATTCTTGATGGTTAAGAACTAATGGAAAAAACATGTTCTATTTTACTATAAACTTTAAATTGGTCTTCTATATCCAATATCATCAACTATATATAATGTATCAATTTATTTTTTATTTTGAAAAGTCACTGGGAGAGGCACATCCCTGGTTCAAATGGACTGACTACATTATGCCTATATAGCAATTTTTACCAGTGATTGGAACACCGGATACTTCAGCGAAATACAAAGAACACACAGCCTACCTGAAGAGTTACGTTATCGTACCTATCGCCTACATTTTCTAATGACCAAAACATGTACTAAACTGAGAATGATATACAGTTAATGAAACCTCAAAATGTGGATTCTCTATACCTCACTTGGTCAATTCTTACCTTTTTAAAAGGCATATTTATTTTAATATATTAAATAACTTCAAAGAACCATAAATCAAGAACTTCTAATTAAGTCCTTAAATCCTAACTCTAGCACTTTAAAACTACTGTTCTTAAAGTCTAAGCACTGTGCAGATCCACAGATCTTAGGCAAGGAAAAAGCCCTATCTATAAGAAATCTAGCTGAGAACAAGTAAGAATTTTAACAATTTAAATCCTTCCCAAAACATTAATAATACATTTCTTCAGTCTGCTTATCTTCAGCAGCTATATTTCTCTAATAGAGTGGTCTTAATTTCTAAGGCTCAAAGAAGTGAAAGAGTCTAAGGCCACACTATTGCAAGTAGCAGGGTGTGCTTTAAATTTAGTCTCTAATATTTCCTATATGCCAAGCAGCCTCCATACAGTTATCAAGATAATGAAGAGAAAATGGCTCAAGCTTTGCTGCTTGTTCAAAATTGTTTGCAAAACTTCCTGACTGACCATGTCCCTAGATGGCAAGAAGTGGGTCTGATCTGTGTATCCCGAGAGAGCACACAGTTCCTGGACATTGTTCCTTGAAATCTAGACATAGGAAAATCCAGTAATTTTTTGCTGAATGTACACTCAATTAAGTTCATTGGAACAGGACTTTAAAGTAACATCTTTTCTTGTGACTAGTTCTACAG